GGCAGCTCATGGCCTCTAAGCTCAAGGTGCTGTGTTCAATCTTAGTTGTGGGTGGGCGTAGCCACCATCCCATGCGGGAGTAGAAACAGCAGCCTTGTTGTTAAGAGCGCACACTCTATCCACTGAGCCCTCTGATCGGCAGCTCAGCTCGAGGTGCCGAGTTCAGTCTTAGTTGCGGGTTGGCAGAGCCCACCATCGAACAGGCAACCTTGTTGTTAGGAGCACGTGCTCTCAGCATCTGAGCCATCCTGCCCCCTGTTGGCAGCTCAGCTCAGGTGCAGCATCACTGGCCCATGTGGGAATCGAACCGGCAGCCCCGTTGCTCAGAGCTCGCGCTCTTAAGCCAACTGTTATGCAACTGAGTCACTCGGCCGGCCCCTGGAGAAAAATATTTTATACTTTTTACTTATTTTTACCTGAAAACGTCTGAGTTGGTTTGGGTGCCAGAAGTTCTGGTGAGGAGGGCCAGCAGAGTCTGCATTCAGAAATGACTGGTCTGGCAGCTCCGTAGCCGCTGTGGACAGGCCCAGCCTGGAACAGAAGTGACCAGAGATGTGTCACGACCTGCTTAGCCTGGCTTCATTTAAACAGGGACGGGGGCTGAGGCCTTGTGCCCTGACCACCCAGGTGGCCTTAATGCTGCAGTTCTAGCCATTGTTTCACTAACAAGACTCAAAAACTTCTCGTGGGTTTTCTTTAGGTGATGTCCATCGAGGAAGTGGAGCGGGTCCTGGACGAGACCCAGGAGGCTGTGGAATACCAGCGGGTAGGTGTTGCCGTGTTTCAGGGGCCCGCCTCGCACCAGCCAGCACGCACAGGTGCAAACTTGGTGAACATCCGATGGTCACCTGTGAGGGTCATGCCTTCCCAAGTCATGTGGTAGCCACCTCTTCTCAAGTGAGGGGACCCCGAGCCAAGGGCTGTCTCCTTCCTCCACAAAGGGCTACCTTCCCCCCACCCCAGCCCGGCTACATGCTTCATCTTGGCTACTCCTTTTTCAGCAAATAGATGAGCTGTTGGCAGGAAGCTTCACTCAAGAGGATGAAGACGCCATCCTGGAGGAGCTGAATGCAATCACTCAGGTAATAGGACGCCCAGGACTGAGCACAGTCACTGAGGTGATAGTACCGCTTGGAACGGAACATAGTCACTCAGGTGGTGACTGTCCCCGTGCCCCTGCCCGTCATGGGGGCTGGCCTCAGGCGAGTGCCCATGTTGGGTTTCCCTCGAGTGTACAGTCTGCTTTTGCAGCTGGTTCGTTCTGAAACGAGCATTTGTGCAAACTGAGGCCCATTCTCCACATCCCCCTGGCTGGCAGTGGGGAGAACTGACCTGGCAAGAGTGGTTTCGGGGTTGTCCACCCAAGACTGTCACAGGCAGTTAGAGTGACCGGTAACCAGCTGTGCCTGGTCAGTGGGATGCTGACTCTCGTGGCCCCTTCCTTCCCCAGTGGACAGGAATGTGCTTTATTGGTTAGGTGGGGTTTGTTTCCCTACTGGGGCAGTCACTGCGTCACACACAGGCCCTGGAGGCCTCTAACAGGTCGGACGGCCATGTCCAGGCCCTGAGGGCTGTACTTGCTCCCTGACGGGGAGACCCTCCATCTCCGGGCCACTAGCGTGCCCCAGCCTGCCATCCCCCGTCCCCTGCCCCCCATCCTGCAGGCTGGCCAGGAGGACAGGGTCTTAGCACCGCTGCTAGCGCCCTGGGGGCCCCACGTGTGCCTGCCTCCTGGTTGATTTCCTCCCCTGGGCCTGAGAGGCAGCCCAGCCCCACCACAGGCCGACGCCAGAGGCACCGCTGCAGCTCGAGATGCCAGGCCTGGGTGCCCGCTGTCCGGCACAGCCCAGACCCTGAACAGGGAGCTCGGGGGAGACACCCTTCACTGTCCTCGAAACCAGGAGCCAGGGAGGACACAGTCCGGGGCTCTGGCGCGGGAGGGTTCTTGTGCATTTAAGTCCAGCTAAGGGCAGCTCAGGAAGCGGGATCCGCTCCCCTCCGAGAGAACAGAGGCCGACCTGACGGCGTGTATCCATGGCCTTTTCCCTGTTTCTTGCAGGAACAAATCGAGCTCCCAGAGGTTCCTTCAGAGCCCCTTCCCGAAAAGAAACCAGGTACGCCCTTGTTCAGTCCTTCAGGGAACAGTGAGTTCTAGAACAGTGCAAAGTGCCCTGGCCACAGGGTCCTGCCCATTCCCTGGCAGCTGGGCGAACTGCTGGCCCCAGGTCAGGCGGAGCACAGGGCTGGGTTTCCGAGGGTTTGGGTAACCTGGTAAGAACTGAACCCCGTTGGGAGAGGCACGTCTTGAAATGAGGAGCTGGGAAGAGGCCAGCTTAGCTGTGCAGGCTTCCCCGGCCGAGCCCAGGACCGGTCGTCCAAATGTGCCGGCCCTGGGATGACCGTCCCTGTGGCCATCACCTAAGAGGCCTCAGAAATGCTCGCCCGGCCCTGACTCGTGTTACGCTGCCTCGTTTCTTGCGGCTCCCCTTTCCGGGCGTGGGGAGGGCTGGCCCCGCCCGCTGTCCCGTCGTGAGCACCTCGACTGCGTCCCCACTCTGTCGGCCCGCCTGGCGTCTGTCTGTAACATGCCATCCCCAGGAGCTGTGCCAGCTCTTCCCGGAGCGCAGAGCCCTGGGACCTGGCTCCTTGCCGCCTCTTGTCCTTCTCTGGAAGTTTCCGCCTGTGGCGTCTTCTCTACGTGACAAACATCTCTTTGTTTCCTCCACAGAGAAAGTCCCTGTCCAGGCCAGGCCCAGGCAGGCCGAGCTGGTGGCAGCCTCTTAACTCGGCCTCCTCGTGTAGGACTGGTGGGGACTCCCCAAGGACTGGGGCCCACAGAGGGTTTGGGGTGTGGCCGGCCGTGACCGGTCTCCCAGGAGGTGGGTGCGGGGCCAGGCCTGCGGTGCTGACGGAGCAGAGCAGCGCACGCGGCCGCTACCGGGACGACTCCATGGACCTTTCCCGGCGCGGCTGCCGTGCTCTTTTCTGGATTAAATGGTGACATTCAAACCCTGTGGCCAAACGCGGCTTCTGAGGCTGTGGCTCCCACGGGGCCATGGCAGGCCCGTGGTGCTGGTCACACTTCCTGTCCCTGGCCCCGCGAGGCTCCGCAGGCCGCTTCTTCTGTGGGAAGGCGCGTCACTTCTAACGCCATCCCTCCTTCTCACCCTTCCTGCTGCTCCCACTAGTTGGGGGGGCTCCAGCTAAGAGGCCCTACCTGGGCCTGGCCTCCTCACAGGCCCAGGTGCCATGTGGATTCGGGCTGGAAACCTCTCCATGCTTCTGGTCGGCGTTGGGGGTGGGAGTGGGGGCCAGGAAGGCCAAGTCCCCGCTGGATTGACGACTCCAGGGCCCTGCCTGCCCCCTTCACTCGCGGGTCCTGCTGAGAAGGGACGTTACAGGACAGCCAGCGGGGCCTGCGGGGGTTCCCGCAGGTGCTGACGGGACCTGTTTGTCCTTGGGACTCGCTGTGGCTGGGGCATGGGAGCCTGCAGAGACGCAGCTGTCAGAGCCGAGCAGAGGCTGTGGGCACGGAAATGACTCGCTCGCTCGCTCGCGGTTCTTTCTGGAATTAGACAGCCAGGCTGGGGTTTCGCTTCCTCCAAGAAAAAAAGGAAAGCCGGCCCCCCAAACAGGGCAGCCCACATTAAAGCCGGTTCCCGCACACCTGCCGCCTCGTGGACTGGGGTCTGGGAGCGCCGGGGTGGTTAGAGGTGCCCCCCGCAACCCCTCGTGTCCCCTGACCCTCCCAGGCACTCACTTGAGGGCACCTGTCCGGGCAGTGCCTCAGGGGCTAGGGACTCGGGAGCAGGTGGGGGTTCTCGCTGTGCCCAGCAGAGGGCAGAAGGCAGGCCAGGGCCCCCCGCTGAGCATGCGCCATCTGTCCCCTCTGGGCAGCTGCCCACAGTGAGGTGCAGCCCGGGGCTCTGGCCCCACCTCCCTTAGAAGTCAGTGGTAGGCTCTCCTCATTTTTGAGGTTTTCTGTGATGCCAGTGGCTGGTGGCTGGTGGCTGGGCCTCAGACCTGGAGGGGGGGGGTGGGCCCTCCCCCTCTGTCGTCCTGGGGGTGGGCCCTCCCCCTCTGTCGTCCCAGGACCCCTGGAGCTTGGGGCTGTCCTCGGGGCCTGTCCTTCCAGGAGCACAGGTGGCCTTACCCCTGGGGTACAGTGGGCGGGCATGGGGGCACAGATCACCTGGTGAGCGACTGCTGGTCCCTGGGAGACACCTGCGCCAGGATGGGGGGTCGGGGGGGGGCGGCCTCGGCCTCTCACTGTCTCAAGTCAGATCTTTTTACAAATTCATCCCAGGGACCTAGGGAGGCTCTGCCCTGACACCCAGCATGACCTTGAGCTGACTCCCGGCTCCGGCCTGTGTGTGTGGCAGGGGGTCAGCCCCTCTGGTCAGGATGAGACTCGTGAATACTGGGCCCTGGTCCTGAAACACCAGCCTGTGAGCCTAACCGGCTTCCCTCTAACCTGGGGGTGCAGGACTCCTGCCCATCACAAGTCAGAATTAAGTGCAGGACCTGTTTGCAGAGCTGGTGTCCTGCAGGAGATGGGGGGCTGGTGGGGGACGAGGAGGGGAAAAGGGCGTCTCTGACCACAGAGGACTGACTTCCTGGGGAGCGGGTGAGGCGGGGGTGGGGAAAGGACCCAGGCGCCAGGACTGCTCCCCTGGGCGCACATTTGTCTGGTACAGGCAGCATGGGGAGTAGGGAGGATTGGGGTGGGGGAGTGCGCCCGGGACAGGATGAGAGGACCGTGATCTTGTCCCCAGGGAGTCCAAGAAATGCGGGGGG